AAATGTGTGTTCACTGAAACACAATAGTCTCCTGGTAATGGTTTGCATTTTGTAGGGTAGTGGCTGGCCCAGTCTGCAATTTGGGTTTGAGCCCGGGAAAAAATGGCGAGGAGAGCGACTGCCCATGACGTCCATTCGGTTTTTAATGCTCCTTCTCTAACCTGTATTGGTTGCTGTAGGTAATCTCGGCACTCCAGCTGTGGTATAACTACAAATCCTGCCATGCCTGTGGCTGTCGGTCTTGCAATGCCTCATGGGACTTGTAGTTCCACCACAGCTGCAGTGCTGAGTTTGCTAACCCCTGCTATAGGTATAGCTTGGCTTGTCCCTGCATCCGTTATCATAGATCTGCCTAAGGCTGTAATGATTTGGCAGCTGTTACACTTTTTTTTTCTTTTTTTTTTTTTTTTTTTGTGTCATACCAGTAGTTTGAGACCGGCTTATTCTCTCAGTGATTTGGGGGCGCCAGTAGAAGAGTGATCGGGGCAGATTTCGGGGGTAATGCGTGTTTTTAATCTCTTCCTGATGTGTTACAAACCGCCTGGGAATATTATTACAAGCTGACCCCTACGTCTGTAGTGCCTGGGGGCATGTCTGCTAGTAATCAGGGCAGGGGATAGGCAAGAATTTAAGCTGCACCGTGGGGCTTTCTCGTCAAAGGAACTAAAGTCCCAGCATGTCGGCCAAAGGCTACCTGAAACTTCTGGAGGACGTTATGTGCCATATTTCAAATGTCACCGTGTAACCTTTAAAGGATAATGATGGTGTAATCCCAGTCAGCACATATTTTTGAGTTCTTGCAGCTTAAAAACATTTTAAATGTAACTTTTACACTTTCACAAGTTTGCAGACTTTGTGTATATAGAAATTGGCCACTAGGGGAGCTCTTGGCGGCTCAGTACTGTGGCTATGTGCCACTAGGGGCAGCTCTTGGTGGCTTTGTGCTATTGCTCTGTGCCACTAGGGGGAGCTCTTGGTGGCCCAGTACTATTGCTCTGTGCCCCTAGGGGAGCTCTTGGCGGCTCAGTACTATGGCTCTGTGCACCCTAGGGGAGCTCTTGGTGGCCCAGTACCATGGCCCTAGGCGAGCTCTTGGTGGCTCAGTACTATGGCTCTGTGCCCCTAGGGGAGCTCTTGGTGGCCCAGTACTATGGCCCTAGGGGAGCTCTCGGTGGCTCAGTACTATGGCTCTGTCCCTAGGAGAGCTCTCGGTGCCTCGGTACTATGGCTCTGTGCCACAAGGGGAACTCTCAGTGGCTCAGTACTATGGCTCTGTGCACCCTAGGGGAGCTCTCGGTGGCTCAGTACTATGGCTCTGTCCCTAGGGGAGCTCTCGGTGGCTCAGTACTATGGCCCTAGGGGAGCTCTCGGTGGCTCGGTACTATTGCTCTCTGCCATCAGGGAAGCCCTTGGTGGTGCTGTCACTACAGCAGAGGAACTTGTAGATCACAATGGAGCACAATGCAGCATAGCTGCAGTGCAATGCTCTGCAGGCGCCAATGCAAACAATTTGTGTGTGTATAAATTTTTAGGTTTGTTTTGCAATATGAGCTCACTCCCTGAGGTAGGAACCTTCTGTTATGGGGCTGGAGGAATGCAAACAAAAGTTATAAAGGATCCAATATTACAAATAGACTAAATGTGCATTTATTTATTTTTTTGCCTTGGAGCCTGCAGAGCATTGCAACCACAGTCAGTGGATCATGGGTGCAATGCAGACACTTCACCCCCCCGAGGTACCTGTCTTTATTTTTAAACTCTGCCTGCAGAAAATACCATTCTGGCCTTTGGTTGCTATGGGCAATGCACACCTTTCCAGTCGTGGCTCCTGTGCCAGGTGGTTAGCCGGTGACCAGATACACCAGTTTACCTGCCATTGTTTTCAACGTCTGGTCACTTTTTGTAGTTGGCCCAGCAGGGCCTGAGCTTGGTGGGCTGTTGTAGGCCTCCATGGTCACTCATTGCCTGCCTCTAACGGCGGGAACCATTTTGAACGTTCTATAGTCTTTTGAATGCGCTGCAGCATACCTGAGACGTCGCCAGCTCAATTTTGCCACCGTCCGTAAAATGTCCCCAACCATCCTGTAAAAGATGATTCCCCCCTACCAGGTTTTTACCTCAGATAACATCTGCCACATTCCTGACCCTGCAGACGCAGGCGCTCGTGTCACAGCCGTAGTAATGGTCACAGCTTTGCTCTATTACTGGGAAGCAGATGTGAGGGAAGGTGACGCGTCGGGTTACCTCAGCCCTCGTAGAAGACGTGTCCCACGCAGCGCTGTCTTGCTCGTACGATGGGAATAATGAGTCTCTGTTCTGTCTTGCAGGTTCCCGTCCTCGCTATGTGTTGGTCTTGGCCAGGTCAGTAAAGCAAACCTTTGGGCTACGTGACGTCGACCTTCCATGGACGCTGTTTGTAACACACTGACTCCTCTTTGTCTCTTCTGCAGATGCTGGCGACTGTGGTCGTGCTCTGGGTGGGAAAGGCGCTGAGGGTGGTGAATTATCCGGACTTAGACAGGCACATCCCTCGAAAGGTGCGTCCGGTCATAAATGAAGCATAAATGCGGAATATTTACAGGCAGCTGGTAGAATATTAACAGGAATATGTGGGTGAGCTTCTATAGGAGAAATGTCACATCATTGGCTTTCACTTCCTGACCTGGAAGCACAGCAGGAAGCGAGAAGAAGTCTCTCCAGAGTGAGTTGTCACTAGATCAGGTGCCCCCCTTTAATTTAACCTCTACTCCTGGCCCAGTGACAACAGTAACATTCTGGATGTTCCCTTCCCTTACGGTCTCAGAAGTGATTCTCCCTAGCGGGGACACAGACACCCCTGTTCTGTATCTTCCAATCAGAAATTAGGCCTGGAAGATGCTGGACCTATAAAACTAATTTCTAATTGGCTGCTGGGGGTTATAGTGCAGCCTTGACCTGTTGAGGCCTTGTATAGAAAAGTGCCACTTAGGAAGGGGTTTCTCTCATTCTGAAAGGAGGAATTGGGTTGCTATGGGCAGCAGAGACTATCTGCATAGGGCTCATGAAGTTTTGCATGCATGTAACATTTGTGCATTGTTTACGTTCGTGCAGCACAAAGCTGCTCTATTGGTTGCTGGCCTTCTTGAGCCACCTAAATCCTAGCAATAAAGGGTGCCAGGCAGCTCAAACTGCCTGCACCTAGCAATGAAGGGCTCTAGGCAACTGGAGCTGCCTGCATCCAAGCAACAAAGAGCACTGGCAGCTTGAGCTACCTTCACCCTAGCAATGGGGGACATTAGGTGGCAGGAGCCTTAAGCATGCTTTGTTGCCAGGACGCAGGTTGCTCCAATAGAGTGCATTTGTACTGTACGCATGTGACTGTTGGCACAAAGGTTTACATGTGTAGAGCGTAAAATATGGTCCCATATGCAAGGCCTCAGAGGGAGAGAGATTTCTGTCTATGGAGCTCTGCGGGGAGCCAGTCTGCATATCATCAACATGAAAAGGGTCGGATGATTCGTAAACATCATAATTCCATCATGTCCTCTGAGCAGACAATACGCCTCATGCAGGGGGTGGCTCCATAGGCAGCTGTCTGCAGCACTCCGGTTTTGGGACCCTTCCTTACTCTGTGCAAAACAAAAGTTCCTGTCACAAGCAAATGCAACGTTTCATAACATGTGGTTTTGTTGCTTGTGACGCCATGTTTATCTAAACGTCAATAAAAGACGGCTGGATGAAGTGGACTTTGGTGTGCTGGTGATCTCATTCTCGGTCTTATGGCCCCATCCGTTGGCCATTTCAGCCCCCATTTAAGCTACACACTAGGATACGTTGGTTTGGAATGCTATGGGATACCTTTTAAATACATTTGCATGCAGACCACCCTAGGTAACACCCACATGTGATGCTGAGCCTCCATGACATGACTGAAATCCCATGGATGGAAGGAGCAGGCCAGGGACAGTCAGGCTTGGGAGGAAAGTGCTAGATGATAATGGATGGCCTTCATCCAGGAAATGAGGCAGGTTCTATCTGACTTGCTGCAGCTTCTAATGCACATTGAGGGGGAATGTATCAAAACTGGAGCAGACAAAATCTGGAGCAGCTGTGCATGGCAACCAATCAGCTTCTCTCATTTTCAAATCTCAGCTGAACAAATTGAAGAGAGAAACTGATTGGTTGCCATGGGCAACTGCTCCAGTTTTGATAAATTCCCCTCATTGTGAGAAGCTCGCAGTGTGCAGTGACATCAGGGGAAGCCATTTCAGTCCAGGAGAGGAAGCCGGTACAACTGTGCAAGACTGAAGGGAAGGAAGGTTTCATGCAAACCCCAACTGCTGTTCTTTAGATCAGATGCAGCACAAGGCACCAGCTAACTTTAAACTCTGTTTGTTCTTGCTGTCTGTGTCTCTGTTGGGGAGTTTTTACACTTCCTCTGTGGTTGGTCACCGGGAAAGGAAGGGGAGGGTAAGTCTCCTCAGTGGGGACACTGTACTAAAATAAAACAAGCAGAGGTTGTCGCCCTTCTCTACGCTGTCCAAAAGTAAACAGAATTTGCATAGAGATGGGCCATAACTCACTTGTGATCCTAATATAGAAAAGGGAATCACCAGCACTCAGTAGAATAATCCAACATGTCCCATTTATTGGACATAGACGTCAGGGCATAAAGAGTGACGTCACTCTTTATGCCCCGATAGGGCTACACTAACCTCAGCTCTACAGCGTATGGGGAACTAAGTCTCAAAGCATTGCTTGACTCTTAGCTACAGACATGACTCCTAGAGGCAGATGCATGATGGGATTTTTTAAGACTACCACCCCCTACTCCTTTTGGCAGGGGTAGCCAAACTTTGGCTCTCCAGCAGTTGTGGAACTACAAGTCCCATGATCCATTGCTTCACTTAACAGCTACAGGCATGACTCCTAGAGGCAGATGCATGATGGGGTTTGTAAAGGGACTCAACCCCCCCCCCCCCCCCCCCACCCCCACCCCCCCCCCCCCCACCCCCCCCCCC